TCCCACCACCACTACCACCACATCTACCACCACCACACGTGACTCGTCGACGGCAAGAGGAGGTAGGCATGGACCCCCACACGGACAAGGCCAAGCGGTATCTGAAGAAGCTCGGTTCTGCCCTCTTCAAGGTGCTTATCCTCTCCGAGTCGTACGGGACACGGAGGGCATCGCTGGAGGTGTCCAAGGCGTAGGTGCTGGGGGGTGGGGGGAGGGGGTGGGGGTGGGGGTGGGGAAGGAGTGGGGGTGGGGAGAGGGGTGGTACTCATGCTGGTGGTGGACATGGTGCTGGTGGCGATGTACATGCGGCGGATGACCAACATGCGGATGACCAACATGCGGCGGATGACCAACATGCGGCGGATGACCAACATGCGGCGGATGACCAACATGCGGCGGATGACCAACATGCGGCGGATGACCAACATGCGGCGGATGACCAACATGCGGCGGATGACCAACATGCGGCGGATGACCAACATGCGGCGGATGACGATCACCTGTCAACAGTGGCGTGGTCATCGCCTTCCAGGAGCCGCTCAACGGCGTTCGCGTCCTCTACGACGAGTCGTTCGAGACAGCACCTATCGTACGTACTTCTCGCCAGGCACGCCTTCCTTCTTCCCCCGCCCCCCTTTCCAACTCACCCCTCTCCTCCGCGCAGTCGATCATGATCCATCCGCGAAGCGACAAGCTGGTGATGATCAAGTTCTCTGCAGGGCGACAGCTCGCGTTTGCTACGCAGTCGCCGTACGAGTCGAACCTGCTGGTGTGGTGCCTCGAGTACTTTCAGTACGAGGCGTGAGGGCGCGGCGTGCATGGAGGGTGATTTAGGTTGAGGGCGCAGCAGCTACTGGATAGCACAGCAGGCCTTTGCGGCGGCGGCCATGTCGCCCTTGGCCAAGGCCTTGTTGACGGCGTCGAGGTCCATGTTCTGAGCCCACTTGTAGCGCTTCTTGAGCTGGTTGGCGATGGCAATGATCTCGGGCGAGACGATGCCTGGGTCGTCGGGCGGGACCTCGGTCCGGCCCATCGACGGGCCGGACGACGACGAGTCGTCAAAGTCGTCGCCACCCACAACAGGGCCGGTCGGCGCAAGCGCGCCAGGGTCGCCGACGCCTGCGGGCGCGGCCGGGCGCGGTGGCAGCGGCTGGAGGCCCTCAGTCGAGGTCACCTCGAGGTCGTCGCGGCAGTAGATGGAGACAAAGTAGTCGCCCTCCTGGCCGGCCTCAAAGGTGAACGGCAGCATGGCGTACGAGCCTGGTGCAAGCGTCGCCTCCATGACCGCCTCGCGCATGTTGGAGATGGGTGACTGGAGGACAGGCTTGCGGTACGAGGTCACCCGCGAGCCGTCGCACTTGAAGAGACAGAACCCGATGTACATGTCGTTGCGGCCAGTCTGCCGCGGGTCGCGGATTTGCAGCGAGAGAATGACTTCGGCCTCGGCTTCGAGCGTGATGATAAACTGGTGGTTGTTGGTCCACGTCGAGTGGTTGCAGCATCCGCCGGCGTTCGAGCCGGCCCACCTGGTCTTGTACAGGTACTGGTTCCACGTGTCGTCGAGCAGACGGACAACGTAAATCTTAGAATACTGCTGCACAAAGTCGTCGTAGCTGATCCAGAACACGCCATCGTCGGCCTCGACCATGTTCAGCTCCTGCTTGAGCGCCGGGGTCCACTCGGACGAGTCGTCCGACCACGCGCCCTTCCACTCGGAGCAGCCCCACGGGTTGCGGCACTTGATGAGCTGGTCGCCACTCGAGGTGACCACCACGTCGAGAATGCCGTACGCGTGACCCTGCAGGATGCCCTGCCCAGTGTCAACCTCGCGCGCACCCGACGTCGCCCGCGCACAGCCCATCAGGTACTGGCCCGACGACTGGTTGTACATCAGCTGGTCCCAGAACGCGCCCGACGCCACGTCGTCGGAAATGTCCTCAAAGTTGATCGTCCGCGGCACGCCGCCGGTCATGTCGACCAGCGCGTCGGTCACCCATCCGCCGATGAGGGCCGAGTACGACGAGTGGAGCTTGGCATACGCCTTTTCGATCATCGAGACCCAGACCTCGTCCGGATCCTTGCCCGATGCAAACAACGGGCCGTTGTTGCCCACCGGCACCCGGTCGTCGATCACCACATCGTGCCACTCGCCAAACTTGAAGAACCGAAAGGCAAACTTGCCCGAGTCGATCCCGCTCACCCCGTAGTCCTCCGGCAGCACAAGCCGGAGCAGGTCCGGTCGGCATGCTACAACCGAGAGCCCGCCGAGGAACCAGCAGTCGCCGAGCGCGCCCTGGCACACATCACCGGCCTCGATGCCGTCGCGGAGGAACGCCGGCGACGGCGCGTACTCCTTTGGCCGCATAAACGCCACCCGACCTCCCTGTTCTACCCTCCTCTCCCGGCAGCCAGCCATACGAAAGTGAGTCCTTGCCTAGCCAGCATTGATGGTATGATTGCGTGTCACAATAACCGTGGCATCAATCGTGGCATTAATTGTGGCACTAATCGTGGCATTAATCGTGCCATCAATCGTGCCATCAATCGTGCCATCAATCGTGCCATCAATCGTGCCATCAATCGTGCCATCAATCGTGCCATCAATCGTGCCATCAATCGTGCCATCAATCGTGCCATCAATCGTGCCATCAATCGTGCCATCAATCGTGCCATCAATCGTGCCATCAATCGTGCCATAAATTACAGCATTTGTTCGTTGGCTCACCATGGTGCCTCATGGCTCCATTTGTTCGTTGCCCCAATCATCAATGAACCAA